GGACTTCTTTGGTATTTTTGCAGTCCAAGGGATGCGTCATACCACAATTCAAAGGCATCCACTTTTCCCCTGTCTGCCTTTTTCAGAGTCCAAGTTTCGTAGCCATAAGTAGCAATTGGAGAAATTATTGCATTAACTAATCTGCACTTGGTTATGAGGCTGATGTCTTTACACTTCCAGATGTTACTCATGCCAGACATTGCCCGTGTTTATTTTATTTTGCCATTTCAATTGCCAACATAATGTTTCTCCTATTTTTTGTCCCATCAGGATCAGTGCTGTATCATGCACTTGATTTTGTACAAAAATAAATAAATAAAAACCATCCCTGCAACTTCAGCAGAAGGGTGCTAGGACTTCAGAGATGTCAGCAATGTAGCTGGCCCTCTAACAATTCGGCGTAACCATGAGAGAAGTGAATGTTAGTGATGCACTGTTCTAGATCAACAGTTCTTCCGACTGAGACATCTTAATCGAGCAATTAGATAGCTTTCTGTTGTCATCCTTTAGTGTTTCCCAGATTGGAGAAGGGAACAGATTTGCTGCTTTGCTCCAATGACTGCCAGCAGCAGTGTTTGTTGTTAACAAAGATATTTACACCTAACCAACAGTTGGCAGGTGTTAACACTTTGTTACTTGCTATTCCCACATGCTGAGAGTTGTGGGAAGGCTGCCAAGCCCTTCGTCTTGATCAACACTTGAGTTTTACAACAGGAACACAACAAGAAAAGCAATAATAATTTGTTTAAAAATTGAATAGAAGCAATGGAAATGCCACATTTTAGGTTTGGGGGTTTTACCTGAAGGAAGTATTAAGCTTTATGGAATTTGGCCTTTTTTTTTTCCAGTGAAGGGATGAAAGCAGCTGGCCTGGGAGGATGTCAGCCTTAACATGTACCGTAGTGCGTACATAATGTGCTCACCAATCAGGCTTGACATTTGCATCAAGAGGAGGACATTAAAGTGTATTTTGTCAGCACGCTCCTCCATAATGCAGCTTTGCCATGCATGAAAAACATTGTAAGAAACAGACATTTTTATACAATTTTCTTCCAACCTGGTTGGAGATGATTTTCCATCTGTTTTGATCTTTAGGTAGTAATTTTTGCTGGCCATGAGAACTGAAATCCAACAAATTTGGGAAGCGGACAATGTTTCACGCCTTTCTGGGGAATGGCTTTGGGAATTGGGAAATACGTTTTTTCCCCCCACAAAGTATAAAGTATCTTCATTGTCCTATAGAAAAAACTTTGAATCAAATCTTGTGAATATTAAAAATAGCATAATAAGTACGGTATCTGCTTTGGTTGGCAGGTTAACAGTAAGGTAGAATTCCCTGGCTTCCTCGGTTGGGGATTCTGTCTGACATGGGGTGGAAGAAACAGGTGCGGCTGGCTTTTTTCTCCGGCGCAGGAGTCTCCAAACTTGGCAATTTTAAGACTTGTAAACTTCAACTCTCAGAGTTCTCCAGCCAGACATGTTTCATCTGTTTCTTCCATCCCATGTCGGAAAAAGTCCCCAACTGAGGAAGCCAGGGAATGTTACATGGCTGGCTAAGGAATTCTGGGAGTTGAAGTCCAAAAGTCTTATAGTTACCAAGTTTGGAGGCTCCCCTGCTCTAGTAGCACAGCCAAAGTTAGGAATGTCCAAGCAATAGCACCACTATATTGGTTGACCTGTAAATTTCCAGGCCTCTAATCAAGAGGCAAAGCTGTCATTATTGAAAATTGGCAATAAGGTGAATTATTCATTGCTGCTAATTGTTGCTGGTTTATAACAAAAGGGCTGATTAGAAATTCCTGCCTGGAGTTAAATTTATGTCCTGTGCACCCAAATCCTCCTGTTTGACCTTGGTTGGACAAAGGCTGAGGGACGAGGAAGGCAGGATTGGAGCAGGATGTCTTAGAAGAAGGGAAGATAGGCATCCACAAAATGGTGGCCAAGATCTTTTTTTCACAGGAGAATGCTACTCAGCTAAGGTATTTCTCTAGATACTGATTACGGTCACCACTCCTCCCATTCTGCAATATGTTAGAAATATTGAAAGAATTATCCCTGGTGCATTTGAGTTGTGGGTTTTTTTGCTTTCAGTCTCTCCAGGTAGAGTTCTGTGGGTCATATTGGAAATGGCTTACTGGGAAGACTGAAGGGTTTAAGTTTTTTTTTTTTTTTATAAGAACAGGATGTTGTTTGTTCCCTTCTAGGAAATGTCCAGTGTTGGAGACAGGTGGAAGAATAATGCACTTTTGTTAAACTACAAAAATCCAATTATAGAAGGGCTGGAGGAAAGAATTACTTAGACTTAGTCAGCAATGATTATTTTTTTTTAAGTGGTTCACAATTTCTCTTTTTCGAATTCAGAAGAAATATTTTTAGTTACTTGAATCATATAAATGCATCATTCCTTATCCTCACTAAAGAAGAGTTCAAGAGAAACGACTGTTTGTCTTCCCACTTCTCCCTAGGTCAGTGATGGCTAACCTTTTCCAGACCGAGTGCCCAAAGTATGTGCATATGTGAATGTGCATGCAAGTGCCTAAACCCCCAAAATACAATGCGTGCGTGGTCCTTGCGCATGCGCCACGACCCCCCACATGTGTGTGCAACCCCACCCCCATATGCGCGTGCCACCTTGCATGCATGGCAGAGACCCAAAGACCAACTGGACAGCAGGAGGCACGTGCACATGCGCAGCAGGAGCTGAACTGGGGCGATGGCTCATGTGCCACCTTTGGCACTTGTCATAGGTTCGCCATCATGGCCCTAGGTAAATACCACAGGCCTGAATTTCTATGTTTTCAGCACAACAAAGATAGCTTGATGATAGCAGATGCTAATGAGAAAACTGTATGCAGAGAGTTCCTTTAGTTCCTTCTATGCTATTCTATAGGGAAAATGAACTTCATCTGTCCTGGAAAAATCCAAAGCCATTGAGCAAGCTCACTTCAGATTTATATAGCAAACTGAAATAATGCCCAAACATTTTTTTTTAAAAGAAAAGTATTTGAAGAGCTTCTCTTAAAGGTTTTATTTTATTCAGAAAACATCTCTGGAACAACCGTCTTACAAACAATATTCCCTGCTGAGGTAAACAAGGTATCAATGCTCCTAAGATTTTGAACCCAAGGGAAGAATTGTGACTTATCTAAAGCCACTGTGGATTGTTTTTGCCAAGAACTGACTGCTGTATGGAAAACGTTGCATGGAAACCACATCTCTTCCAAGTTGGTGTGCATGAAGTACCAACACTGGTGTGTGAAAGGACATGCTATGACAGTGCCAGGTACTCAGCTGCCAATAACTGCAGGAGAGTTTTTTAAAACTATAAGTAACAGTCTGTAAACCAAGAGTGATTAAAATACAGCATGACTTTAGTAATATAATAGAACCCTGAGAATGGATTTATCTTTGCTGGGAGTTGAGCATTGCCTGGCTTTGTGAATGCAATGCAATGCTTTACCTATGAATAGACTTCAACATCAAAAACAAATAGTCCTCCATTTACAACAGTTCATTTAGTAACCATTCAACGTTATAACGGCACTGAAAAAAGTGACCTATGATCGTTTTTCACACTTTGCAGCATCCCTATGGTCATGTGATCAAAATTCAGATACTTCCCTCTCCTCTTATTATTTTTACAAATAGCTCAAGATGGCGAACATATCCAACATACCTTCCTCCTGTTTTCCCCACAACAACAACCTTGTGAGGTGGGTTGGGCTGAGAGAGAGTGACTGGCCCCAAAACACCCGGCTGGTTCCATGGCTAAGGCAGGAAAAACTCCGTTTACAGCCTGGTGCCATAACCACTAGACTTAACTGCTATGACCTAATATACTGAATACACCACAATTGTTGGTTTCATACAATGCAGTAAGGCATAAATCATAATTTATAACCCATAATGGCTGGATGCATACAGACCTAGTCAACACAGGTATTGCTATGTTTGGTGCATGAATTAAGTCTAGAAATCAGATGCAATTTCTAAGTTTCTAAATGGTTTATATATACCAACTATATTATTTATTATTAATTATTTATTTATTTATTTATTTATTTATTTATTTATTTATTTATTTATTTATTTATTTAAATTTGTATACCACCCTTCTCCCGAAGGACTCAGGGCAGTGAACAGCCAAAGGTAAACACACAGAATACAAAAGTTTAAGAACAGTTTAAAAAACATATTAAACAATTTTGACCCAACAATTAAAATACCCCTTTTAAAATTAAAATTAAAATTAAGCAATTGGAGAAGTTAGGCCAGCCCGGCTTGTTGAAATAAAAAAGTCTTGAGGGCCCGGCAGAAAATACGTAAATCCAGAATTCTCCGTATCTCCAGGGGGAGCTCGTTCCAGAGGGCAGGTGCTCCCACAGAGAAAGTTCTCCCCCTGGGGCCGCCAGTTGACATTGTTTGACTGATGGCACCCTGAGGAGCCCCTCTCTGTGGGAGCATACTGGCCGGTGGGAGGCTCTCGGTGGCAGAAGGTGGTCTCGTAGGTACCCAATTCTTAAGCCATGGAGCACTCTAAAGGTGGTCACCAACACCTTGAATCGCACCCCGAGGACCACCGGAAGCCAGTGCAGCTTCCGCAGGAGAGGTGTTACATGGGAGCGCCATGATGCTCCCATAATCACCCACGCGGCCGGTGATTATCACACCAGATGAAATAAAGGAAAATCTTTTTTTAAAAAAAACATGTTAATGGTTCATTGAATGACAGTGAATGAATGGTTCATTCATTCAGGAACACTCTTCCCTCTTAATAATCAATTGATTAATCTAAACCTTCACTTTATTATTTTTACACACACGTTAAACATTACAGTTTTGATATATCAAATGATGTAATTAAAAAATGCCCCAACAAGATATGCATTTTCTTTGTCTTATGAAAGAGAAAAGATATATTTGCTGACAGAGTCCACCCACATTTGGTTTTTCATAGGACAAGTTAAAATGATAAAATGTATTTGTGAAAAACTGTCAGCTGCCATTTCTCATAATGTTTATTCTTGTCTCTTTCTCCAATCTCTCTCTCTCTCTCTCTGTAACTTTTCAACAGTTATAACGAACAGCAAGACATAAGGATCAAATGAATTCTTAGCGTGGATCTTCATTTAGTTTTATATTTCATGTCCTTAGCTCCGGTGTGTCTTTGGAGCAATTGGATATCTGTCCGGAGATAAGGCATTGCTCCAATTTCTGAAAAATAAAAGTTATATATTTTCTGTATTATCTGCTCCTTGTACTGGCCGTTTCTTTTAAAAGAGTTGTCTATGATTCCCACCCCCCTTCAAGAAGCAATCATGTTTCCAGTCTACTAGCATAGAAGCATGTGAGAAAGATGGTTATGCTTTACCTATGTTAAAACTGATTATTACAGCTATAACAGCTACATACTTGTATCTGAGAAATGAATTCATTACATGCTGCATCACATTCACCACCATTTCTCTACTAGCGTAAAGTATGGATAACCTAAAGCATTTTTGTTTTGCACTTGCAATAGCTTCTTTACAAGGATTATCCAGGCTTAGTATGATTCAGTCTCCTGTGTTCTAAAGGAAAAAAACATTCCCAGATCATATTTAAACTACCAGTTGCTATGTGGGACTGATTGGGGTAGATTGTAGGGGTGACACTGAAATATAATTTTATCATATTTTATTTATATCTTAAATTATTGTATTTTATTCCAATTTCATTTTAAATTGTATTTTATCCAATTCCATTTTAAATTGCTTTTATCAAATTTAGTAATAAGTTGTTTCTGGAACTCTGCACTTTGATATGGCCCAAAGGCTAATCAATCAATCAATCAATCAATCAATCAATCAATCAATCAAAAAGCATTCCCAGCTCATATTTAAACTACCAGATGCTATTGCTGGAAATTCTGGGATTTATTTATTTATGGCCAGCAAAAGCTTGATTGGCAGTTGTGATATTAGTTTTATTTACTAACTTGGCACTCCAATCATTATTGACTGTGAGCACTGTACAACACATCTAAACCAGTAAATATGTAAATGTATACAATGAACACTGTACCAGTACCAAGGACAATTCAGTGATATTAACTGCACACATCTTATTTAGTTTTCTGGGGTCACACTGATCTCAGTGGTACATCTGGCACATTCTATAAAAGTTCTCTGATTTAGATCCTGGCATCTCTAGTCATGCCAATTGGGCACCACTTACCCCCCCAGAGAAGGAAATAGTGTGTTTATATACAGTTTTCAATGTATCCAACAAAATGTTTATGTTTATACACATGTGCATACATACATGGCTACACAGACTTTCTCCCACAAAGGACACAGATTGATAAGATTATGAACAGGCTAGCCTTGCATTCTGGCATTTTCAATATATGAAATTATTACGTACATTGTTAAGGCAAGGAAAATAAAACCCCTGGAGAAATACTGCCTTGGAAAAGCGCCTCCCTTATAATTTGATGGGTCTTCTCATATAGTAGAATCAAGACCTGTAATATGGGGTTTAAATATATGGTAGTAGTTAGAGTAGGGGCACAGGCGTTGCCAAAAATCCAAAATGATGGGAAAAATGGGATGCACATGGGGACTTCAGAATGCATCTTGCATGCCATGTTATGACACGCTTCATCATTTGCCTTCCCTGCAGATACCTATGAAGAGAAGTACAAAATACTAAAGACTCAAAAACTGTACTTGATCTTTTGAGTGTCATGTTGCATCTTATATTCCAAAACTAGGCAGGATAAAATGAAATTTCAACTGAGTTTAAATTGAATTAAATTTACAAGTTTACGATGGAACGTAGGTTTTACTCAGAGAAGAGGGAGTGGGCATGCCAAGCCATTACAGAAAAGACATGAGTCTGGGAGAGTAGAAAGCATGAGAAGGAAATTCAAACCAACTCTGCCTTGATTGTGTCAGATATAAGTGAAAGCAGAGACAGGCTTTGAAAGGTTTTCAGGATTCTGTGCAATACCTTAATCCCATTAAACAATCTAAGACTCCTAATCATGCCTATCTGAAAAGGCTGACAAACATAGAATTAGCATAATAATTGATTATGTATTTAATGAAGTTTCCACTAAGTCTGGATACCGAGTTTTGTTTTGCTGTTGCTTTATTTTCAATAGAAGTTTGTAATCAAATGAGAGATGTTTCTTGCATTTATATTCTATTTTTTTCCTGAGGAGTTCAAGGATGTGAACACGTCAACCCTTTCAGTTTTGTCTTTACAAAGACAAATTACTTGCGAAGTAATTTAGATTGAGCAGGGAACTTGGATCTCCCCAATTAGTTCAATATGTTAATCTAGGGCCGTGATGGTGAACCTATGGCACGGGTGCCACAGGTGGCACACGGAGCCATATCAGTGGGCACATGAGCGTTGTTGTAGCTCAGCTCCAGCACGTATCTGTGTGCCAGCCAGCTGATTTTTGGGCCTTTCGATCCCACCGGAAGTTGGGAAACGGGCTGTTTCCGGCCTCCGGAGGGCCTCCAGGTGGGTGGGGAAGGCCATTTTCACCCTCCCCAGGCTCCTAGAAAGCCTCTGGAGCCTGGGGAGGGTGAAAAACAGGCCTACCTGGCCCACTGGGCCATCACGTGCTAAAAGTGGGGGGGGACGCACGCACATGCGCAGGGGCAGGGTTCATCCCCACACTCCCCCTGCTTTTGGCACGCAACGGCAAAAAGATTAGCCATCACTGATCTAGGGTGTGCAATCTTAGCTAGATCTTGTAGTGGGATAATATCTCAGACTGCACAGTCCTAGATTGGACTTCGATTAAAAACGTCTACTGAAAATAAAGTCACAGCAAAACAAAACTATGTATCCAGACAGCTCAACTCTGAAAAAGAATGTTCTGCTTAGCAAATCTAAGTAGAAGCTTCCCTAAGTGCTTCGTAGTCTACAGAGACTGCCTGGCACACCTGCTCATTTCATTCTCTCCTGTTCTGCCAGCCAGCAGCTTTTTTTTTTTTTAATGAGCCAAATGCAGTGGAATTAAGCAGGACATCCTTCAGAACTGTCTTTTGGGAAGCCAGAATGATATTTAGGAATGGCAGCCAGAAGCCTCCATCCAATGCAGACTGGTTTGTCTCAGGGGTGGGTTCTAAATTTTTTTACTACCGGTTCTGTGGGCGTGGTTTATTTTGTGGGCGTGGCTTGATGGTCATGTGACAATTCTTTAGGATTTAGCAGAGGTACTGGTCTACCAGACTTTTAACTGCTTGCAGAGCTGTACCAATCTACCCATTTATTTTTTGCAGGCACTGGTCTACCCATTTATTTTTGCAAACACTGATCTATTCATGTATTTTTGCAGGCACCGGTCTACTCATTTGTTTTCCTTTAACACTGATCAGCTGTAGGGCGGCCCTTTGAAGCCCCCCGGCAAGAGTTTAAACAGTTTTTTTCCCTCTAGCCATCAGCTGGGACTCAGGAGGCAGCAATAGATTGGGGGTGAGGCCAAATAAAAGGTAAGAATAACGCGGAGGGTGGGGTGGGCAGAACTGGTTCAGTGACATCATATCGTCACCATTACCGGCTCAGCAGAACCGGGTAGAACCGGGAGGAACCCACCACTGGTTTGTCTTCTGCTCTCTAATCAGAAGGAGCCACGGAAAGGACACGTCCTTAAGTTTCCTCTTATTACAGGAGGAAAATCTTCAGTATTATTTGTGTAATACTATCTGAGAAGCCCTGCATGGCTTGGGATCTGGTTACCTTAGAGATCATGTATCTCTAGACAGAGTTCTCCATGAGGATGCTGAGATCAGCTGGGCCAATCTTATTAATCGCCTAAAATTCTCTGTGGAGGACCTGCACCTTGGCAATTTCTAGCATGCTTTCAGCATCTGCAGAAATAATCACTCCTCAGACCACTAAAGGAGAATATTTGTAGCTCAGAGTTGAAGTGAGGGGTCCTTGGTGCTTTCTGAGCTTGGTTGTTTTCTTGCAGAAGTTTCATTACCCAATACTATAATAACATACTAGGTAACATCATCATTGATGCTGGGGGGAGGGGGAATATTTTGGGAGTTGAACTCACAAGTCTTAAAGTTGCCAAGGTTGAACACCCCTTTTCTAAGGGACAAAAAATTAAATGGTTGAGGTGTGCCTCAAATTTCCTCAAAGGTGAGAAAGGGAGAAGGATCATTTTGAAGCAGTATTCTCTAATATCACTGAGTGTTGATTGCTCTACATAACCTGGGACCAGTGGTGGGTTGCCCTCGGTTCAGACCGGTTTGCAAGAATCGGTAGTAAAACCAATGGGAGGCCCTGCCCACCACCCCGGATGTCATCATCAGTGATTTGCGCATGTGCAGAAGCAAGGCGCACGCGTAAGCTTCACTCGCGTGTGCGCGATCCCATTGCAAAACGGTAGTAAAGATAAGTAGAACCCACCCCTGCCTGGGACCTTTTTATTTAAAATGTATTCCAAGTGAAGATTTGGAAGGGGCAACATTAGAGGAACACTGAATCTGAGAAATTCAACTCAAAGCAGTCCGGAATAAATCTTTCTGTTGCAAAGATTTGTGTAATTTTATTTAGAATTTATATTTTGATATTGATTGTTTCCTGATTGCTTATTTGTACCCTACGACTCTCATTAAGTGTTGTACCTTATGATTCTTTTTTTTTAATTGAAAAGTTTTTTTAAAAAAAATTTACAACAATTTTTCCACCCCTTCTCCCCCCTCCCAACCAACCCTCCTCCCCTCACCCCGGACTTCCCAGAGCAAAATACAGGGTATAGCATTTAACAAACATAAGCTAACATATGCAAACTATCCATAAACTCCTATCTCCCTCTTGCACTTTAACTCCCCTTTACATGACTAAATATAAGAATTCCCTTAAATATCTTTTTTTTTTCATTCATAAGCTATTTGAAACTTTTTAGTCCCATATTTATTTTGAATATAGTCAATCCATCTTCTCCATTCCAATATATATCTTTCATTTGAGTGATCCTTCAAATATGCTGAAATTTTAGCCATCTCTGCTAAATTCACTACTTTTAGTGTCCATTCTTCAATAGTAGGTAGATCTTCCTTCTTCCAGTACTACGCCACCAAAAGTCTGACTGCGGTTATTAAGTTCAAAATCAAATTAGTCTCTATAACCGTACAATCTGTAATTATACCCAATAAAAACAACTGTGGAGTAAACTTTATCTTCTTTTTAAAAATATTTTGCATAATCCACCAAATTTTAATCCAAAATGCCTTGATTTTTTTACATGTCCACCATATATGATAATACGTGGCATCATCACACTTACATCTCCAACACTTGGATTGTAAACCTGGATACATACAAGCTAACTTTTTAGGATCTAGATGCCATCTATAAAACATTTTATAAAAATTTTCTCTCAAGTTTTGGGCTTGCGTAAATTTTACGTTTCTAACCCATATTTTTTCCCACTTTTCCATCATTATTGGTTCCTCAATATTTTGTGCCCATTTTATCATACAGTCTTTGACTAACTCCGTTTCTGAGTGTTGTACCTTATGATTCTTGATGAACGTATCTTTTCTTTTATGTACACTGAGAGCATATGCACCAAGACAAATTCCTTGTGTGTCCAATCATACTTGGCCAATAAAAAAAAATCTATCTATCTATCTAGAAGACTTATTAAGAGATAATCTTTCTATTTTAAATGTTAATTTAAACCTTGATTAACTACAGACAGTCAACTTGATGTATAACCCAGCCAAAATTCTGAAATAATTAAGCAGTTACTGTAGTTTGTGAACTTTTGGATGGAAAGAGCATTGCTTTGCAGGAGTCAGCAGAAGTTTATTAAGAATAATAGCAATAGCAATAGTACTTGTATAACATCCCATTGCGCTTTCCAGCACTCTCTGAGCAGTTTACAATGTTAGCATCTTTCCCCCAACAATATGGATCCTCATTTTACTGACCTTGGAAGGATTGGAGGCTGAGTCAACTTTAAGCCGGTGAGGATCAAACTCCTGGCTGTGGGCAGAGTTTGACTGCAATACTTTATTCTCACCACTCTGCCACCATGGCTCACTAGTGCATGCTAAACCATGCTAAACCAATCCACTTTTTTGATAGTGATAGTTGTCCCCAGGACTACAGTGTGCATCGTGATTTCAGCAAAGTACCGAAAAAAAGTATCCTGTAAAATTTTAGTGCAAAAAAAGATTGCTTGAACTAATGCTTCCATACAGAAGTAGTTGAACAGTTGAGTTCAACTATTCAAATGCGTCTATGTCAATGGCTCCACATCAACCTGCATAGAACTACTCATTCTTGGCTTTGTTGTTGTTCAATATATTTATGAGTAATGTGGATGTGAGGTTAAAAATATTATCAAATTTGTAGACAACACAAAAACAGAGAGGACAGTAAATCTCTTACAATATCAGGATTGAAATTGGAACATTATAGTAGTAAAGTATAGCCTTTATTGTCATTGTGCATCATATA